AGTAGCGCTCGCGACACGGCTCAGGGACTGGGGCGAGGCCCCAGACGTCCAGGTGCAGGGTCTGCAGCGGCGCGGCGGTAGGGGGAAACGAGGAGGAGTGAGGGGCACGGCGAAGCCGACCCTCGATACAAGGCGTGCAAGGTGGGGCTGGGGAGGAGGGAAACGCGGGGAGAGAACCTGGGAGACCAAGGACAAGACAGTGCTGGGACATGTGACGCAGACACGGGAGCGCAGGGTGACCTAGGCGGTGGTGCCAAAGGAGAGTCGGGTGAGTGAGGGCCCGACAGGAGCAGGCAGCAGCAACCTGGGTAGACGCAGCCACCTGAGGGAGCGCTCCAGCCGGGGGGGTCACGGTGTCCAGAGTGAACAGGCCGGACACCGGGTCCCGGGGGAACGTGGACAGGGGGGCACCCGTGGCGGCTTCGGTACAGACAGCATAACACTCTTGACCAGGGAACGTAGTGGTGACGCCAAGGTCCTGGAGGCAGCCGACACCAACTAAGTTCCTGGAGAACGAGGGAATATGCAGACCTGTGAGAGTGCCCGAAGGAACCGCCGGACAGGGAAGGGTGGTGGAACTGCGGGCGACTACCGGACCGCCAGAGGGGTCAGCAAGAGAAACGGCAGCTGGAACAGGAAGCGGCGTCAGTGTGGTGAAGTCGCGGAAGAAACACCGGGAAGCGCCAGAGTCCAAGGTGGAGGAAAGCGAATTAGAGGCGTCTGGCGACGGAACGACCGCGGAAGCACCAAGACTACACAAAGCAGGGGATCCTACGCCTGACGCAGCAGGGGAGGCTAAGCTAGGCACACCTACACTAGCCGACAGTGAGGTATAAGCGGGAAGCACACTAGAGTCATCAGCATACATCACATGCAGAGCAGAAACAATGGCATCCATGTCCATGTCAAAAATCTGAATCTTACGACTAAGCAAACTGTGCCAGTCCGAAAGGTCTGGCGACGGGCCGAAGCGCTGACGAAAGAGGTCGTCCAGGCGACGAAAACAGCGGGGAGTGGAGTGACCGATCTTACCGCAAACGAAGCCGCGGCGAGGACCGGTCTGGATCTGATACTGACAACGCACGCCTCCAGAACCACCACTCGGCACACCACCACGCGCCCGACCACCGCCAGCGCCGGGCCACCCGGGCGGGAGGACACTCGTCTGCCGCGTCTGCGGCGGCTGCTGCGAAGGCTGCGGCTGCTGAGACTGCTGCGGCTGCTGCTGCTGCTGCGACTGTAGGGGCGGCGGCTCAGCTGGACTGGGCAGGGTCCCCTCGTCCGCTCCAGCACCAGACGACCCGAATCCACCACCACTCCCTCCCGCACCCCCGCCTCCTCCGCCGCGCCCAACCTTGGGGAGGCGGCCCTGCCCCGAACGAAACTGCGCAGCAGCAGCAGTCTCAGCCACAGCGGCAGAGCCGTCGGAGAAGGTACACTGAGCGTGGGCACAACCCTAAAAGATAGGGACCTGCACGGTACCGCTCGTCTGGGCGATGGAGCGGTGGCGGGTCTCAATCACAGTCAGGGTGTCTACAAAGTCAGTGAGGGTGAGGTCTGCGGGGTGAATGCTAAGGAAGCGGTCGCGGGCGACAGCAAGGCGGTCAGGGAGGTGGGTGGCAAGCAGGTAAAGGGTAGAGGTAATGGGCGGCTGGTGGGCTCTAAGCTGTGCGTCAGTGCAGGCAGCGCGCCAGGTCTCATCTATCGAGCGCAGGTGGGCAGCGAGGTCAGAGACAGTGGGGAAAGACGCAAGGTCAGGAAAGAGCATCGGGAGGATCAGGCGACCCACCGAGGCAGCCGGAGGGGTGGAATAGCACTTGATGACAGCATCTTAGTAAGCCTGGGCAGTAGTGAGGGACCTAACGCGGGGGCGCTCGGACGGGGGAAGGGCATTGCTAATGGCAAGCTGAGCGACAGCATCTCGAGAAAGCCAGACAGAGCGCGCACGGGCAGTGGCAGCAGCAGACTCGCGCTCAGTGGGTGCGGAGTCAGCGGGCAGAACAGCAGGGGGGTCTGGGCAGGGGAGCGTACCGTCAAGGTGTGCGGAAAGCGGTTCACCATCCTGCCGCTGGCCAGTGAGTTGGCGCCGGAGGTCGGCAAGCCACGCCTCGAACTCCAGAGGCTGGCCTTCAGCGTCGAAGCGAAGCTCCGCCGCCATCAGGGGCAGTGCAGGACTGTACAGTGTGGTGCAATGCGGTGCAGTGCAGAGCAGGGCAGTGCAGTGCGGTGCCGGGCGGTGCAAGGCGAGGCAGTGCGATGCAGGGCAGTGCAGTGCAGTGCAGGGCGGTGAAGGGCGATGCAGTGCGATGCAGGGCAGTGCAGTGCGGTGGAGGGCGGTGCAGGGAGGGGGGGGAACCGTACCAGTGAGGATGCAGGGGCCGGGGCAGGGCGCGACAGGGCCCGGAGAGCGCGACTGGGCCGAGCGGGCGCGACGGGGCCGGGCAGGGCGCAACGGGGCCGGGGGAGTGCGATGGGGCCGGGCGGGTGCGACGGGGCCGGGCGGGTGCGACGGGGCCGGGCGGGCGCAACGGGGCCGGGCCAGGCGTAAAGGGGCCGGGCGGTGCGACGGGGCCGGCCGGGCGCGACGAGGCCGGGCAGAGCGCAACGGGGCCGAGCAGGTGCGACGGGCCCGGGCAGGTGCGACGGGGCCGGGCGGGTGCGACGGGGCCGGGCGGGCGCGACGGGGCCAGGCAGGGGGGGGCGACGGGGCCTGCAAGCGTGACGGGGCCCAGGAGGGGCGCTACGGGGCCCAGGAGGGGCGCTACAGGGCGAGGGGCGTAGCGCGGCCCGGGAGGGTCGCGACGGGGCTAGGGGGTCGCGACGGGGCCCAGGAGGGGCGCGGCAGGGCTAGGGGCACGACGGGGCCCAGTGGGGGTCGCGACGGGGCTAGGGAGTCGCGATGTGGCCCAGGGGGTCGCGACGGGGCTAGGGGGTCGCGACGGGGCCCAGGAGGGGCGCGGCAGGGCTAGGGGCACGACGGGGCCCAGGGGGGTCGCGATGGGGCTAGGGGGTCGCGACGGGGCCTAGGAGGGGCGCGGCAGGGCTAGGGGCACGACGGGGCCCAGAGGGGGTCGCGACGGGGCTAGGCGAGGGGCACGACGGGGCCCAGGGGGGAGGCGCGGCGGGGCCTAGCTAGGTGACAAGCGGAAGCGGTAGGTGGGGGATCCTAACCTACGCGTGATACCATATCTGAATGAGAGAAGTGAAACATTAGAGTGAGAGTACAGATGGATATACCTAAGTATTGTACCCTCTAAGAGGTGACCCTATACAACCTATGCAAGCATAACAGATACACATGTTTGACAGATTCGGCATAGGGGATGCAGTAGACTGCTGGGTGCATTGGTGGCTGAGCAGGGTTTAGGGTTTAGGGCATGAATGCATCCTGTTGTAGTTGGAAAATCAAGCTGGAAGTTGACTATGGGCAAAAACAAAACATAGGCAAAACTAACAGGGGGGGTGCTCTCCTGGAACCCTAAAAAAGGGGGTGTATAATTGCGGATTCTTCAATAGTATACCCTCCCCGGATACAACACCAGGGGGTGCTCAATTCCGGCGGGTGTTATATCCGGGGGATTACGGTAGCTCTGCTGATGAGAATGTTAGGCAAGAGGAAAAAGGGAAGCGAGTTGCTGAAGTTGTTGGACCTTCGTCGCAAAATTACGATTTGGTTTTCATACAAACACTCAAATATGACAATTAGTTTATTTGTTGTTTGAAAGTCAAGTTTGATTCAAATGCTCTCGGGTTCGAACCTTGAGAAGACGGGGTAGTAACGTATCCACTTCGAGAGTTGCGTCATCATAACTCATTTTCACACAGTGCCTCAATTTTCAAGTAAATATGTGAAACAATATCATTTGTTGTTGTCATATGGAAATACAAATCAAATGTTTGTTGTGATATGGAAATAAAATGTTTTATGTATAATAAAGTCTCATTATGAAATGCTCCGCAACTCTAAGACAATCTCGTCGCCTCTTGTTTTGGCTTGGAATGCTTTGTTTTGTTAGTAGTTCAATTCTAACGCCTTCATTCTAAATATATGGTGTTAGTATCTGTGCACAACTTGCATGGGTTATTGCCATGTGCCCGATTTTCAACCAATCAGCATGCTTGAAATAACCAGCTTGCGTTTGGTCCACCCACTTTTGGCTTCCACCTTGCCTCTGGTGAGGCAAAATGGGGTCCACGACGAACCAGCCCTGGGGCCGAACCGAGCCTCCAAGTGTAAACAGCGACGGCGGGCGACATGGGAGCTGTCTGCGACTTTCGGAATGAGCAGGTCGTCAACCATTTTTTTTTGCATGAGCCGTCGCCAGTTTCGCTGCGCCTCAAGCCTTCTGAGCGTATTGGTTGCTCCCCTTTCGTTCTGCCCTGGGGCCATGCACGGGGTGCAAAATTCCGCCGAGCCATCACCCCATCAACCAGCGAGCCACCAGTAGGGGCGCTGGCCCCGTCACCGAAGCGAGCTGGCGGAAGGCTCCCTCCATGGCAATCGCGCATATTGGGGCAGGTCTTCTCGCAGCCGAGCCGAACCAAAACCCTTACTGCACCCAACAGACTGCTCCAATCCCCAACACCGGTCCAGGCACAGTCACGCCAAACCAGCGAATTCCCCCCAGTGGGCCAGTGATTTCCGCCTGAGTTGTCCTGGGCACCTGATTTGTACTGTTTCTGGAACTCCCCCTACCCTCGCACCAAGCGCGCCACCTCTTCACTGGCCTAGCCTGGGCCCAAGCCTTCATTGCAGGCCCGGCATTTCCATACCGAAACCTAATTTCGAGGTCCAAACCAAAGCAGGTATAGAATCCATACCTGCAGCTAGTAGGGCCGCAACAACCAAGGTAAGGTACGGTACGCACCCGAGCCATCCATTGTGCCTCCATTGGAATTCGCTAATCGCTACACATATTGGTGCCTGCTCGAGGTCCCCGAAAGGGCTGTTTGCTTGCCTGATATAACAGCAGCACGTTGCCATTCCCAAGAGTGTTAGGAGTGGCTGGCGAAAAGCTCGAAACGATTATGTTCGAGGTGTGCGTGCGGTGAGGGTTGTTGGTTCGGCTGGCATGTCACCGCTGGCGCCGCCTTCACCTTGGACGGCCTTTGCGGAAGGCTCAAAACCTTGCATGCTTGCGAGCCGAGCTGGTGTGTCTCGGAGTTGACGTGTCACATCTTCCCCTCACGTGGAGGCAAATTCGTTCCTCTCCTTAACTTAGCTTGTCTTACCCAACTCTGTAAATACCTCAGCGAAACTATGGCTCCACGCCGCCTTTGAGATAGCCGAGTTACTTCGCCCTTAGGCAACCCCTGCAATCCCGTCGTAGTGTACTTCTGGAGGCTCACAGCCCGATAGATTTCAGATACAGGATTCGCGCGCGACAGGCTTGGAACGTGGATTCGTGGCAGGCTCGGAACGTGGATTCGCGCAACAGGATGAATAAGAGAGTCTAGGGTGCATGAGTAGAATCGTCGCGACACACGAGGCGAGGAGGCGGAGACGATTTTTTAGGCGCCTCAAGAATAAGAGATTCAAGGGTGCATGAGCAGAATCGTTGCAACACACGAGGCGAGGAGGCGGAGACGCCGTGCTCCTCCCGTCTCGTCACGGCAGCGAGCTTGTTCTGAGGAGGCTCTATCCGAGGAGGCTCTATCTGAGGAGTCTAAGAAATAGACTCGCGCCAGCCGATTCCGTTGCTGTGGTAGGTTTTTGAGAATTCTCAGAATCCTTTCCACCATCGTCACTCCCGTGCCGCCAAGCGACAGCTAATCTGTTTCGAGGCGCCAGCCAATCCCGTTGCCGTGATAGGTTTTTGAGAGTTCTCAAGGCGACACTCCCGTGTCATCAAGCGACAGTAAATCTGTTTCAAGGCGCCAGCCAATCTCGTTGCCGTCGCCTCCCAGTGCGTCACCAGGTAAGCTCTTCAGAAGCTCCTCCTTGTGTCGTTCCTCCCGCACGTGCCGACGCCTTCTGTTTTTCTCGTGCCTAAGCTACGCTCGGTTTGACTCAGTCGACAAGATTCCCTGTAGTCTCGTGTCTAGCTGCTTTGCCGATTTACAAAATAGCTAGTGTGTCTCAAAGAGTCTTAGCATATGCTTCAGCTCGAATTTCTCGTTTCGCCTTGTCCTGTGGATGCGTTTTTCCAGGAAGCCTCTTTGAGGCAATTGTGCCCTTCCGTTTTTCTGTTATTTTCCGTTGCTTTTGAACCGATCCTTACACCCTTCTTGTTCCTGTCTCTCCCTTCTCCTTTCCGTCCTTTCTGCCCACTTCCCCCGCCTATCCCGCACCCTCTTCCGCCGTTCCCCGCAGCATGGCGTCTGCGGGCTTTCTCTCCCGCAGATGGCGCGCGCTTTCCCAGCAAAACTCCGCCAGCACCGTTTCCAGCGCGCTCTCCGACGCGGGAACGGGCGGAAGCACGTCCTTGCGCCGCCACGACTCGGGTTCGAGTCCCGACACCGACACTTCTTTCAACTCACCTATAACGCACCCTGGCTCAGGCCCTTTAACGGGGACAACGGGGGGAAGACGGCGCGGGGAGGTCGCGGGGAGTGCGGCACTTGGCGGAGGCAGGGCTACGAACGAATCCAGTAGCGAATCTAGGAGCGAATCTGTAGCTAGATTCGCTTATGATGACGGCAGCTTGTCTCCCGCGAGACGGCGCCCCCCGGGATTAGGTCGGCGCGCTTTGTCGTTTGGCATGTCGCCGTGGCGCTTTGACTATAACGATGCGGCTTCTAACGCGGCTTCTGGCGAGTCCGCGCCTGCGAGAGGATCTAGCAGTGTGCGGCAGAGGAGGCGCGGATTTTCGCGCAGAGGACGGGTGGGGGGGAGGGCGGGCGGAGGCGCGGATTCTTCCCCCATGACGCCCGCGGGCGTGCGGACGCGGGGAGCTGCGCGCGCATGGGGTGGGCGGAATAGCAGCGCGTCCGCAGGGGGAGAGTCGCCAAGGGGGATTGGGGTCGGCCCTGCCGCGGCTGCTGCAGCTGTGGCTGCGGCGGCGACTGCTGACGCGGCAGTGGCAGTGGCATCAGATGGAGGATTTGTGGACGTCCCACTGGACGGAATCCGTCAGATGTCTGCCAGAGGCACAACGTAAGTCGTTTCTCAGAGGTTCTTGGAAGTTGCGTGAGCCCAGCCTGATTTGTGAAGAACATTGCACCAGTCTCACGGAATCGTTTCTTCCTTTCGCACCCTGCGCTTTCAGTCGTGGCTCTCCAGCTTCTCAACCACATCTCACCGCATCAGACCGCAGATCATCTTCCAGAGGTAACCTGCTGTTTGTAGTGCCATCCCCAGCCTCATTCCTCCTAAAACAATTTCATGTTGTGGCACCATCCCATTCTGTATATGACGTCAGTCAAATGACCCCATGTCATCATATTGACTCCATGTCATCCGAATGACCCCATGTCCAAATGATTCCATGTCATCCGACAGTGCGCAGGTGGCTCTCCGCCTTGAACGTCATTGGTCGGGCGCGCCGCGACCGCCAGCTCGACCGCCAGCTCAGCGCCACGTCATCCATGCGGGCGGATCACCGCTTCCAGGCACCTTCCTCTCCTCTTAGGCACTCAACCCACCAGCAGCAGCAGCAGCCGGGGCGGCAGGGGCGGCAGGGGCAGGAGCAAACGCAGGAGCAGGAACAGGTGCAGGGGCAGGGGCAGGGATTGGGACAGCAGGGGCAGGGGCAAATTGCGCTTCGCAACTACATGGGGCATGGGATTCATAGTTTCAACAGTGGGTATAGCCCCAGCCGCGGATTCAGCCCCAGCCGGTTTAGTCCAAGCCGGGGTTTTAGCCCGAACCACGGGTTTAATGGTGGGATTAGTGGCGGCACGGGTGGGGGTTTGAGTGGCGGCGTGAATGGGAGTGAGTCTCCTAGTACCCTGCAGTCGAATCCCCACCAGCAGTACCACCAGTACCGGCAGCAGTATAACCACCAACTGCAGCAACAGCAGCAGCAGCAGCAGCAGCAGCAGCAGCAGCAGCAGCAGAGTTACCAAGAGCACATGCAGCAGCAGCTAGCCTCCCCTCAGAGGCATGCCAACCAGCAGCAGCAGCAGCAGCAGCAGCAGCAAGTGCAGTTCCCCTTCCGCCAACCTTTCCGAGAGCTACAAACCGGAGGGGGGGCTATCCCTGTGTTCCCCTACCCTTCCCCCCAGCACCCCCTGCAGTCCCCCTCCAGGCACCACTCCACTGCCTCCCCCAACATCCTCCATCCCACGAGCTCACCCCTCCACCAAGCACTCTCCAATCTCACCTCCCCTTCCTCCTCCCCTTCCCCCAACTCCCCCCGGCTCACCCCCTCCTCTCAACCGCACCTCACCTATTCTAACTCCCTGCCTTTCCGGACCCTCCAAACGCTCCCTGTGCTGCCCCCCTTGCCTGATCAAGACGATGGGGATGACAGTCTTCCTCCCCCTGTCTCCACACTCCCTGCGACCATGCACTCGAGTCCAAGCCCCGCCGCCCCGGCGCGCGCTACAGTGGGTGCTACAGTGCCCGATTCGCCACTGCTGCTATTCCGGGATAGGGAGAGGAGCAGGGAGAGGGAGGAGAGGGAGGAGGGAAGCGAGAGGGAGAGGGAGAGGGAGAGGGAGAGGGGAAGGGAGGGCGAGAGGGAGATTGGTGGAGAACGGGAGAGGGAGAGGGAGAGGGAGAGAGGAGTGGGTTTGCCGTCTGCGCGACTGCCTAGGTGGTTGCGATCCCGTCGCGCTAGGAGGAATGGTGAGCGCCCTTTCTTTCCCCCATCTCACCTCTCTCCCCCCCCAGGATCGCCTCGCGCTAGGTGGAATAGCGGGCGCCGTTTCTCCCCCCTCGTCCTGTGCTTTGCTCCGTTGTTTCTCCCCCCTCGTCCTGTGCTTTGCTCCGTTGTTTCTCCCCCCTCGTCCTGTGCTTTGCTCTGTTGTTTCTCCCCCCTCATCCTGTGCTCCGTCCCTGCCCTGCCGTCCCCTGTGCCCGTGTCTCCCTTTCTTGCCAGCAACATCAGCAGACACACCGACGATTTCTGGTGGCAGGGCGGCATGAGCGAGGAGGATTCAGGCGTGATAGAGGTAGCCATGCAGGCCATTCTCATGTGTCGCCTCCTCCTGCCCTCCCCATCCTACCCATCACCAGCGCCGTCGTCGGAAGCAGCGGACGACTTCTGGTGGCAGGGCGATGTGAGTTCGGAGGACTCGGGCGTGATAGAAGCAGCCATGCAGGCCATTCTCATGGATGGGCTCGCAGGCCCGCTGCAAGGGGGCGGGCTGCAGGGCGGGGGGGGGCGCTCTTGCTGCCAGGCGTCTCCCCTCCTCTTCTCTGTTGTCTCTCCCCAGTCATCCTCTGTTCTGTCTCTGTGATGCCTTCCCCTGTGCCCCCACTCCCCCTCAACCCAACCCACCAGCGCCATCCTCAGAGGCAGCAGACGACTTCTGGTGGCAGGGCGACATGAGCGATGAGGACTCGGGCGTGATCGAAGCAGCCATGCAGGCCATTCTCATGGATGGGCTTGCAGGCGCGCTGCAGGGGGGCGGGCTGCAGGGAGGGGGGATGCAAGGAGCGGGGGGGAGGCGCCTGATGATGCCGCAGATGCTGCTGTTTGAGGACGAGGAGGCGTGGACGTACGAGCAGCTGCTTGAGCTTGATCGGAACAACGTCAGACGGTGAGATATTGCCTCCATTTCTATTCAGCCATTGTCCGAGGGGGTGAGGGAGGGGAGGCGCCTCATGGTGCCACAGATGCTGCTGTTTGAGGACGAGGAGGCGTGGACGTACGAGCAGCTTCTTGAGCTTGATCGAAATAACACCAGACAGTGAGTTCCATTTGTCGAGTTTCAAGGGGGGTTTCGGTGGGCATAGAGGGAGGAGACTCATGGTGCCGCATCTGCTGCTGTTTGAGGACGAGGAGGCGTGGACGTACGAGCAGCTGCTGGAGCTGGGTTGGAATAACGTCAGACTGTGAGATATTGCTTCTTTATGAGGAGTGATAAGGGATGTTTTCTTTTACATTTTTTTTTTAAGACGGGAGTGATAAGGGATGACTTGCCTCCCTTGTCTATCTACCTCCAGACACCCCGGCTTGTCTTTCCTTGCTTCTCTATCCCCCGTACTTGTCTGCCTTGCTTGTTCGCCCATCCCTCACAGGGGCCTGCAGCAGCAGCACGTGTGGAAACTCGACCGTCACAAGATGGGGCAGGAGGGGACGAGAGGGCCTTATTTTTTGTTTTCTCAGTCCCTCTCCCCTCCCCCCAACCCATGCACCAAACCCCTCCCCCCACCCCATGCACCCAACACCCCCCCCCCCCTTCCTCAACTCCCCTATTCGGCACCCCTCCCCCACAGCGGCCTGAAGCAGCAGGAGATGTGGAAACTTGATCGGCGCAAGATGGGGCACGAGGACGAGCGGATGGACTGCCAGATCTGCCTGTGCGAAGCCAGCACGGGGGAGCTGCTCACCACGCTACCGTGCAAACATACTTACCAGTGAGTGGTTTGGTGCGGTGCAGTGCGGTATGCCTATCAATTACTACTGGTGAGCGGCAACAACTGTCCATGAGGACGAGAGGGTTGACTGCCAGATCTGCCTGTGTGGGGTGAGCACCGGGGAGCTGCTCACCATGCTGACGTGCAAACATACTTACCAGAGAGTCACGCCCCTTGCGGCACTAGCCTCCTATGGTTGCGGCACTTCTTTCCCAATTGCCGTTAGTGAGTTTGCGACTAAGGGGGAGAGCAAGGCGGACTGCCAGATCTGCCTATGCGATGCGAGCACGGGGGAGCTGCTACACTTAACACGCTGCGAGCATCATACTCACCACTTTTTTTAAGGCGCCTAAAAAATCGCAGCATGCAAACTTACTTACCAGTGAGTGCGGCTAGGAGCGGTGCAGGGCGTTACACCTAGCAATAGTGGTGGGTGGCAAACACAGGGCATGAGGGCAGGAGGGTGGGCTGCCAGATTCTGCTTTTGAGTCGACTCAAAAGCCCACAGGGCGTGAGGGCAGGAAGGTGGGCTGCCAGACTCTCGAGTTTGTGAGAGGTTGTGAAGATAGGTCATGCGGCCGAGAGGGCGAGAGATGGGGGTGTGCAACTCGTTTGAGTGTCTATCCTTGAGGCTGTGACGAAGAGGCATGAGGGCGAGAGGGTGGGCTGCCTTCCAATTACTAAGTTTCGTGTACCGCCCTTCTTCCCTTCTGTCGTCAATAGTCCCCACATGAAGTTTGAAGGAAGGATCCCACCAGTAACGTGCCGTGGAACCCACTCTTTCTCCCACTGGCAGCTTCCCTCCCACTCAACCTCTCTTCCCCCTCCCTTGTGCCGCTCTTGCCCTCCCCCTTCCGCCCTTTTCTTCCCCATCCCACCCCCCCCCCTCCACCGCCCCCCTCCATTGTGTCACACCCCGTACAGTGACGCCTGCATTTCCCCCTGGTTCAAGTCCCACCGCACGTGCCCCATCTGCCGCTTTGAGATTGCGGACTGACTCCCACGGCAGCAGGAAGCATGTCAGAACCATGGGCATTGGAAGGGGCTGCTGCCGCTACAGGAGCAGAAGGGGGATGGCTGACTCACTCCCCACTAGAGCTCCAGAAGACTAGAGCAGCAATGTAAATCCCTGCAAGTTGCTGCCTTGCGGTTGGGTGCCTTGCATATTTGCCAAACGTCCTTGGCTGCATCTTGCATCTTGCACCTCGCATCTCGGCACGACACCTCTCCGGTTTTAATTTCTTTCTCCTGCCCTAGCTGAGATGAGAACACTCTCCCGCTGGTGTGCTAACTTAGGTTAGACAGTGCAGACGTAAGGTTTATTGTACGGAAGGGTAGGCTAGGCTGCTGTGCTGCTTTGATTTCAGAATAAGCAATGTGTCAGTGACTCAGTGTCAGAGCCCCTGGTCTGGTGCCATGCTTGCTGGTAGCCATTGCAATTTGGGAGGGTCTCTTGAGACGGCCACGGTATAGCCACCCTGAAATGTGACAGTTAGACCCTATGGCACCAACTGTGCATGGACCCACCCGGAGTCCCGACTCCCGAGTCCCGACCTGTGTTCTTTATACTAAATGCATGAGGCACGTTAAGATGAATGCCAATGTGCAGAAGGCATAGCTAGTACTTGTTAGCATACGAGAATGAATGACTAGTGTGAGAAACCTAGAACATATACCTGTTGGGGTTGTACTCACTAGAAGCACACACCAAGGCTAGCCTATAACTTCTACATACAGCAGATGTATAAGTTGACACACCCCCTAGGCTAGAGTAGGGGTGGTGCTAAGCAGGGTTCTCTTTATCATACTATTTTTGTCTGATTTGTCTGAATCCGGAAACAGCAGCTCCTATTATGAAAACATGTTATGTATGAAGTTTTACATAACTGTTTAGTTTGTGCAAGAAGTACATAGTAAAGTGTTCCGATTTCTTGTAAATCAGCTTGGAGCCACTATTTCGGTTTTGCAAATCCGACAATCAGACAAACAATGTCTGATAAAGAGAGCCTTGGTGCTAAGCAAGAAGCACACAGCTAAGGGTGGCACTACTAGTCCAACCACTGAGGCAGGGGTCCGGAGACCAGTCAACAAGAGTACAAACAAGACTTAAGCAAGCCAGGGCGGCACTACTAGTCCAGCCACTGGAGGTAAGGCCACAAGGCCAGTCTGAAAGGTATATATAGTAGAGAGTACACAATCAGGGTCCTAACAAGTGAGAAGCTACAGGAACAAGACCAAGCTGTACACAGTGCCGCTGATGATCTCTAGGCGCTTGCGCAAGCGCCTTAGTAAAGATATAAGCTGTGTTGGCATTGGAGGCCAAGTGAACTACGCGGGCCTGGCGACGCTGCTGTAGCTCGCGCAGGAGGAAGTACCGCAGTTGGATATGCTTCGCCCTGCCCTCAAGTCGAGGCTCCTGACACAGGAGAATCATGGCTCTGTTGTCAACGTACAGGACCGGGGCAGAGCTAGGCCGCTCACCTAAGTCTGTGAGCAAGAAGGTCAGCCAGCGGAGCTCCTGTGCCGCCATGGCACCGGCGTAGATCTCAGCCTCACAGCTGGACTGAGCCACAGACGACGAGCGAGTGGATCTCCAAGAGATAGCACCCGAACCAAGGCTAAAACAGTAGCCCTGCGACGACCTGAGAGTCTCAGCGTCGTCTGCCCAAGAATCGTCTGTGTGCCCAGTGAGGACCACTGGCCAGCGTCCTCCAAGCACTAACCCCATGCCCGATGTACTTGCTAAATATCGCAAAACCCTCTTAGCGACCGACCTGTGTTGTGGTCGGTGTCTGCCGGTGGCCACAAAGCGAGCCAGGATGCTGAGAGGGTATGCGAGATCTGGGCAAGTGCAAGTCATCAGGTACATGAGTCAGCCCACCAGCTCTGCGTAGAGGCCGTTGGGCTCTCCTGGCTCGTCACGAACAGGAGCGGAGAGCCCATGGTCTACAGGTAGAGGTGTAGGCTGTGCAGAGGAGAACTGAAGACCGAACCTCTGAAGGACTTGACGCACCAAGTGTGACTGTGTCAGAGTGATGGTGCGTGCTGCTCTGTCCCTGGAGATCTGCAAGCCAAGATATCGACGAAGCTCTCCAAGGTCAGTGCAGGTGTGTCTCTTCAGCAGCTCGGCCTTCACGGAGGCTAGTGCGTCCCTGTCAGCAGTAGCGAAGACCAGGTCGTCTACGTAGACAAGGATGTAGAACAGAGTCTGGCCGGAACGCACAAAAAACGAGGGGTCAGCAGAGGACGGAAAGAACTGCAGGTCTGCTAGCGTGGCACGCAGCGTGTCGTGCCACTCGCGGGGAGCCTGGCGCAGGCCGTAGACCGGGCGCCTGAGAAGCCACTGGGTCCCAGGAGGGAAGGTATCAGTGAAGCCTTGTGGTCGGCGCAGGTAGATCTGCTCGTCTAGGCTGCTCTGAAGAAAGGCAGTAGAGAAGTCGAGGGAGTGAAGCTCGTAATCGCGCAGTGCTGCTATGTGTAGCAGTGCCCGAAGAGTAGTCATCTTCGGGGTCGGGGCGAAGGTCTGGAAGAAGTCCACCCCCTCACGCTGGCTGAAGCCTCTAGCCATGTAGTGCGCCTTGAAGACAGGCGGCTCTCCCGGGGGGCGCTTCACCTTGAAGAGCCACTGACCATCGACTACGTTCCACCCAGGAGGGGGAACTGCGTCGACATAAGTGCCGGTGGACCTCCAAGATGCCATCTCCTGCTCCATGGCAGCTATCCACTGAGAGGCCCAGAGGCCTCAGCAAAGGTGCGAGGGGTCGGGATGTCGAAGGCGTCTGAGTCACCCTCTGGGACTAGGAGCATGGAGCAGAGATGGGGAGCGACCTCGAAAAGGAAAGCAAACTCGTATTGCCTGTCCTCTAGAACGTCACTGCCAAGGGCAGGTGCACCCCCGACGGACTGAGGACGGGCAGGGTCAGAGACCAGAGCGGTAGTGTAGTCAAGGCGGCGGATAGAGGCGAAGTCAGCGACAGCAGCGACAAGCGCGTCAAGGCACGCGACAGGAACATGCGGGTCTGTAACAAGAGAGGCAAGAACCCGAGGGACAAGGGGACGAGCGGCACAGAAGTAGTCAGACAGCGGGGGAGGGGCAACAACAAGCGACAAGGGAGGAGGCAAGGGGAGGAAGGGAGGACGAGACGAGTGGGAACGGAGCAAGATAGGGTGGGAGCGCAGGACATGAGAGACGGGACGAGCATGTGACAGACGGCGAGACCAAATGGTGACAGAGGTGTAGGGTCAGGAGACAGCGGAGGGGACACGAGAGGGGAACAAGGAGGAAGACGGGCCGGAGACGAGTCCGGTGGCGGGAACACAGGGCCGTAGACAGGAAGGTGAGGAGGTGGTGGGAGAGACACCAGCGAGCGGTCAGGGGAGGGAAGGCCGAGCAGGCGAAAAGCGGAGACCGGCTGCGACGGCTGTGGCGGCGGTTGGTGCTCAACCCCCGGACCGGCAGAGGCACGACGATCGCCGGTGTCACATGATCGAATGCGTGGAGGAAAGGTTTCCTCAATGTTGCACTGTCAATCAGTACAAGGTGCTCTTATACTCCCAGAGTACATCAAGTAACCAGGTTTATCCTATCCAAAAGGAATAGACCCTTCTAGAAATAGAATCACACTGCGTTTAGCCACGCGAGGCTATTGGCTTTAAGGGATTACGACAGGATTACGCTAGATATAGCGCGCCAGTACATCCCGAGCCTGGTCGGTGATATAATCATAATAACAGGATAAACCAAAGGATAATGGAAAAGGAGGAATAGGAATCCAAATGAGATGAGATAAAGACCAAATGAATCAGGATGAAAAGAGGAATGAAATAGAAAGGAAATATGGAAAGGGGAAATTGGTGTAACGGGGTCGTACTCTCACACTTCCCCCCCTCAAAGCTGGGTGAGGTAGTCGCGAAGAGGACGACGGGCGTTACCCATGTCGAGTTCAGAGACGCAGCCATAGAAGGATCAGAACGCTTCCAACAAAGAAGAAGCTCCAGGGTGCCATTCTGACGATGACAGTGTCCGAGCACGTAGTTGTCCCATGGCGTGGACAAACCCGGGCGGCGACGGTGGTTGGCATTCGGTGTAGCGTGTGTTTGGTCTTGATAGGGTTTAAGAAGCTGGTATGGAAGGCGTTATGGATCTTCCAAGTGGTTGGTAGGTGGAAGCGGAAGGTGAATGAAGTGACATTTGCTTCAACGAGGATAGGCCCGCAGAAGCGAGGTCGTATTTTGGATGGGAGATGACCGATATCAAGATTGCGTGTGTCCAGCAGTACTCGGTCTCCCATGGTGATGGTGTGGTCTGTGCGGTGGCGATCGGCTTGGCGCTTCGGTTGTTGCTGAATGTCGTGAAGGCGCTTGTGGGTCCGATCCCAAAGTTTGTGCATGGTTGTGATGAAATCATGAGCGGGTTGGACTGTTGTGTTGTGATCGGGTGGCGTCCGTAACAGAGGAGGTACGGCGTCTTTCCAGTAGCGGCGTGAGTAGCTTTCTTGTAGGCAAAACTCCAGGACGGGCAGATGCAAGTCCCACTTGGAGATTTCGTCCTTGCTGGCTGCGCGGAGTAGTTGCTCTACAATTTGGTTAAGACGCTCAGTCTGGCCGTCTGTCTACGGATGGTATGCGGATGACATGGCGATGGAATTGTAAGAAAGTTGGACTGTAGCAAGAACTGTCTGTTGCTACGGAATGAGCGAGCTCCGTCCACAGTAAGGAAGGATGGTGTGTATCGCCGTCACTGATATATGGGAAGGTGCAAGTTGGAGTTGGAGATGTGAATGGTTGGAACAGTGTGCTGTAACGTGCAAATGAATGGCTATGTTGTCCGATCTGTGTATGCTGTTACCCGCATCTGGTCCACGTGTGAAGATCACGAAGTGTTGGTGGTATGGCAGTCGTGTCATAGTACAGCTTCTGTCGAGCTGGTTCATGCCTGATTGTTGTCACGAGTCGTACCCACTTGGCATCGTAGTGCTGCAGAATGGAGAGCAGAATCACTAGTAGTAACCCTGTCCACCACGCAGTCTGCTAGTCACACTGCCTTGAGTACAACAGCGCATGCAAAGTGCTGCTCAGCGTATCCCTTGAGTTCAGAACCATGTGAGGGGCCGGTACCATAAACACGGAGCTGCTAACTTCCAGAATCGGCGCCAAAAGCGGTTTCCCTCGGTGGTTGCTCAGGCAAGGAATCTCATCTGCGTAGATATCCCACAGTGATGGGTTAGGATACTTGGGAATATATGGGGTATTCCCAAATAATCCTCTCCCATTTCCAAATGGGCATTGCTGACAGCCAATCCAGTATGACCTTATGCACTTCCAGTTTAGCACGGAGGCCATCGGTAGGCATCGGTGTCTGGGCGCATTTATCAGGATAGGTCTTCTGGTGCCATCATGTGTTGTCTCATTCTGTCACTGTCCTTGAAGTAGCGTTGAAGTCGAAGATGTCTCAGCTATTCAGCATCAGTGTTGAAGTCTGCTCCCTTTCGGCCAATAGGGGTGTTGTTGGAGATACGCGGAGTCCACTATCCGGAGTGTCGTCCGCGCTC